TATTGTTTGCTTTTGAATCAGATGTGGTATTCCATCCAGATATGCCTATAAATATTAATTAAATTTACAAATTTGTATTTCTGAAAACCTTTTTCTTCTGAACAAATAATAATTGTTATAATACTAGAATACCGATAGAAATTAAAAATTGGAGATGATGCCATAATTCGAAATAATCACCGAAATTAATAAGAATTATCTAATAACAATTTAAACACTTCATTAGTAGTGAAATGATAAAGTAGAATAATAGTAAAGTAGAGTAAAATACAGTAGAGTAGAATAACAATAAAGCAACGGAAATTACTAGATTAAATAAAGAATCGGAGAAAATTGATGAGCGAACGAAAGAAAAAAAAAATAAAAATGTTATATTCATGTACCATGAGCTAATTGATGCTTTTTTTGGTCATACAAAACACAATCGAGAATGAAATTAAAAACACAAAAAGTAGTTGATTTCGTAACGAAAATGAAGAAAGCTACATAAAGGATCGGAGAAATTGAAATCTCATTGTCCCTGACTCCTGCGCGATTAGAACTGACAACCAATTCACCTATTTCGTTTCTATTCGACTTCTCCACTGAAACGGCTAATCGGAAAATCTTTTCAATTTCTCCATGAAATTGTGTAAATGTTCGTAACAGGAATTGCTTTTTAATTGCACAACGAAGTTTTGCAACACAAAGCGTAGGAAAATTCTTCTGTAATTTTTCTTTCCTTCTTTTCTTCATTAACACATAAAAAATATGATACTGTACGTTCAACCAAATTGTTACTTTTATATTCAAATATTTCATTACATTTAATACAATTGTCCATAAACACTATTAATTATTAATTATCATAATATTAATATCTATTAATTATTAATCATTATCATAATATTCATTATGTTGTAACAATTATACTGGGAAATTTTCCAAAAATTATCCGTGCATATATTACAACATTATGAAAACAAATTTGTTGTAAATAATCATTATTGCAGTAATTATACTACTTAATAATATTTTTTTTAAATTAGCTGCTATTGTAGCACTATGAAAACAAATTTGCCGTAAAAAAACAATCCTATTACGTAATTTTAAAAAATTATCTTACAAACAATCAAATAATCAGGTAATATCTTCATATGAATTCTAAGATTGAAAACTAACATCTGCTTTACTTTAAATTCAAGTTTATGTTTACCGCTCTTATTTTTTAAGTTTTTTAAAAATTATAGGTATTTGTTTCATACTACAGGATGTTCATGAATGTATTAACAGTAAATATTAACAGTAAATATAAAGATTAACAGTAAATATAAAGAAAAAATAAAAGAGGAAGAGTATTCTTTTTTGTAGGTAACGTAATAGTGTATGAAATTTTTTCTTTGCTATTTCTTTAGAAGATAGGATTCAATTTTTTAAATGTAATGGTACATATTTCTTTTATATTGTATAAAAGTGTAAATCAAGACTTTCGAGATCAAAGTTAAAATCGAGAGAGAAAGTTCGAATATTTTATGAATACATTTTTTACATATTAAAAATATTTTACATATTATATAAATATTATTATAACAAAATATTTAAAATATTCATAACACTATATAGTACACATCCTGATACACGTTTTTATATAATATAAAGAAGTATATAAAAATTCCGTTTTAAATGAAAGGTCACATTTGAAATGCATTGCAAAAAAATTTTATACACTATCACATTGTTTACAAAAAGACAATGCTATTTTTTTCCATATTTATTATTTACGAGAAAAACAATGAGATTAGTAAATCCGTGAACACTCTGTATAGAAAGAATTTAAGACAGCGTCTATATTAAGAATTATTCAAATTTCACAAAAATTATAATTTAACAGTATAACAAAACAGAATATATAATTATATATCATTTTAAGTTACATTTATATTCTCCCTTCAACATTAAACTAAATACATCTGCTAAAAATGTCCAAACTTTTTGTACAAATTTGAAGCATAATATGTAAGTGAAATGAAGAAACAAATGATATATGAAATTTTATAAACATTTCATTGTAAAATTCTAAATAGTTATTGAACACAGTAAATGTACACAATAGAATGTAATGATTAGAAAACTAAAAATTCATTTGAGTCATATGAAATTTTTGTACAAATCATAGAAATTTGTTGATAATATAAATATGTTATTAATATATTCTTTTATGCATACTATCACTGACGTTCAAAAAATATCGGATAAAATAAAACTGAGAAAATAAACGCAAAATTAAAATAAACAAAATTAAACTTTAATTTTTAAAATAATTAGCAATTATTTAACAATTTATCGAACATCATATTTATAGATCTTCCTAAATTTGCCTTAAATATATTTAATGTAAGTTCAATAAAATCTTTCAAAATCTTTATATTTCCTTTTATAGTTTAAGTAGTTAATACGTAGTACAAAAGTAACGCAATTCAAAAAACATAATTTTGTAAAAATGTTGCAAAGGCAACCCTTCACCAATTTTAAAAATCTTACTCATTTAACTTTATAATTTGACCAGTAAAAAGATATTATGTTCGTTTTCCTGATTCATGCGATACACTGTGCTGTATTCTATAAATATCTCTTATTATAAATTTTGTCTTAATTATCGTTATGAACAAATGAATACTGATAAGCTGATTAAATGTTGATGAATTATTGATAAGCGTATTATTTTGAATTACGTTGTTTCTTTAATTAATAAAATATTATCAAATTTTGTTCAAGACCAGATTTTTATTTCTCCTGAAAAACATACTTTTTTAAGTTATCTCACTTCGCCGCAAGGTAGCGACATGTGCTTGTAATAAAAATTCGAATTGTTATAAAAGATAAAGTTAAAAGTTTCAGAGCTATACTCTCATTAATTTATGTTAAATAAATCCCATCACTAAAATGAGATTATATTACATATTTCCCAAATTTTCCGAATTATATTAATGTTTAAGGAAAAATTATTTTATCGAATTTTTTTACTCTTTCAAAAACTATGTAATTATAAAAATATTATTCAGTTCAAAACTTAGTAAATAATATAAACACAATTATCATGATGACAATATATGATAACATCGCAAACCTCACAATTAACATTTTCTAGACAATTTTATCATTAGTAAGATTACATGAATTGTTGAAACTATAAACTTTGTTTCCAGTGGAATCTAAATGGATGGGATCTAATATCGATGTAAATTATTATCATAATGATTTCCTACATTTGCCTGGTAGATATTACATTCATGATTCTAATAAGTGAATCGAGTGAGAAAAAAGGAAACGTCTAGATGAAAGGTATGAAAAAATTAATTTAATTCAGCAGCATAAAATGTAAAAGCAGCGAGGATCATCAACAGGTTCTACGAGTCAGCCGAAAGTCATTGGCAGTTCTCCAAAGAAGAGTTCACGAGGGACGCCGGTCCACAGGTGCTCGGAACGAGCATAGTGGCTCGGGAAAGAGCGCTACATATATGTCACTACTGAATGAATTGGCAAAGGGTGCCGCGAACAAAAGAAGTCTACAGTATTCGTGCATACAAGGTTCTTGTGTTCACTTAGAAGACCTCTGCAGTTACTCATTAAAGAAATTTACTCTTTCACACGCTTCACTATTTCCACTTAGATTTTCTGTATTTTTGGACAGAGAAATTAGTCTTTTCAGATTAGCGAAGACCCGCAATATTTTATTTTGTCAATTAACTTCTTCCCCCTCGAAAACAGAAATTTACATCACTCGTTTGACGTGAAATTCATAAAATCATGTCAGAAACAACATCACTTTCAATTCAAACACTTTAAATCGATATACATATCTCGATTTAATGGCTATAGCATGTGAGAACAAGCAGAATAATAAGTTACTGCGACTAATCAACAATGCGGGCGAGAAGGAAACAAAAGTTCGAATTAACAAAGCTGTTCAGCAGTAATTGCTTTGAAAATATCAGTCGTATTTGTCTGTCAATATTCAGTTGTCTGCTCGATTAGTCTTTTCTACTCTGGCTTTCTTCTTTATGCGATTTAAAAGCGATATTTTTTATTGCAAACTTATTTCAAAGTATATTGTAATTAATATGAGCGACAAGCTGTTTTTATCGTTAATAACTAGGAAGATTTTAAATAAGTATGTATCTGTCAGATTCAATTATTTGGTACTTTATCTATTAAAATCATCTCTCTTTGAAGTCCTCTGAAACTCTTCCAATAAAGTTGAAGAATTCATCGTGATTTCACAACAGCTGTTGGACATTTAATTGAGACAATATTTTTATATTATTGTAATTTTAACACCGGAATAATGTGTTTTAATCAATGATTTATTTCGACGTTTAGTCTATGCTTATTCACAATATCAGTTCACAATATCACCATTCACTGATCGATCTAAATTGAATTGTAAGTTTGTTGCCATAAAACAAACAAAAACACTTAACGACTAGACAGAGAGCGCGAATTGAAGCGAATCTCCTAATTAGCGATATTGCCAATAATTGCATTTCTTAACCAAGGAAACATGAGAAAGTTCAGAATAATATGGGCATGAGTGGAATTTTGAAGACATAAACCTTTAATAATTAAAATCACGTGGAGAACACAATGTAAAACATCGAGTATTTGTGTAGTATGTACATATAAAGTTCCGCCAAACGACATAGTTTCTTTTGGTCACACAATTGACGCGCACTTTAAAACCGTTTACAAATACCTTCACAGGTTTCGCACCACATTGAAACAACAAACGAAAACTGAAACACTGAGAATGAGGCCGGTAAAGCGAAGGAAACCGCGGTCAGTTTCAGACTGAGGAAATTTCATCAACAGGTTCCTAGGCAATCAAATTGTACACGTTCCCGGCCGATATTTTGCCAAATAAAACTCTCATTAAGAAGATTTCCGATAAAGGGATCGTTTAGCGATTATGAATAACGCATTATCGGTAAACAAAATCCAACTGTCTTGGTGTAACCACTTACCCGATTAAAAGCTGCTCCGAGATACATTCGAGGAAGCGTTTGGAGAGACGAAGTCGCGTTTGAGGTACGACAAAAACGAGAACGACGAAATCCTTGGCCGTAGCGTTAAAAGCATAGCACTGTTCGCGGGCCCTTTTCGTGTGTACGGCTAAGGGGACAGATTGGCACGCGCGCGGTTTCACTCGTGGGGGTGTCGCGGTGCGACTGTAGCACAATCGCTATCCTCTCACGCTCTCACGGTCTCCATCCCTCCGCTCTCTTTACCCTTCCACCCGTTTTGCCACCCTCTCTATCCTATTCTCTCCTTCTGTCTCTGTTGCACCCTCACCCTTCGCCGCCCGTCGCCCCCGTCTTTCTTCCTTTCCTCGTTTGTTCTCTCTTCGTCGAACGGCAACAACCTATCTCCTCTTTCCTGTTGCCATCTAATTCGGCTTCTCTCTTTCTCTCTTTCCCTCTTCGCTACCCTTGCGTTTCTCCTCGCGAACTGCGTCACTCTATCTCTCGCACTTCTACCCTTCTATTTCTGTTTCCGTCTGGAGCTGTGGAGTATCCCCACTACCGAAAGCAGCAAGCCACTCCTGCAGCAGCGGCGTGCCTTTTCGAAAAGCCCCACTCACGACTCTTACGTGATAACCGAGGTGGCTGGTTGACGGGGTGGCTGACTGACTGACTCGCTTGGATCGCTCCGTACGCTTTCGAAAGCCGCGCAGGATCCTCTAATCGGCCCGCGCACGCCTTCGCACTACGAAATTCTATGCGCATCACGCTCTTCTCTCCGGGAATCTGCTTCTCAGCTGGATTTACACGCACCGATACGTCGTTTCAATGAATCTTCTGTTTCACCTTGCCCCTACGTAATCCTTCAGATCTCAATCATTATACGTCCTCGACTGATTTCCATTGAGATCAAGATCAGAGATAACATTGTTTCACTGATTGTGAGTCCGTAAGGAAATGTTCATAAAAATGGATACATATTTATACGTAAATTCATTGTATTCTGATATATATCAAAGGATTCAAAAGTTAAAATCAGTACTTGCACAGTGCAAATACTCTTTTATTAACAAATCCCTCAATTGTTAGAATAAGATATAACGTACGAATAATTATTACGATATGTAATAATTGAAGTTTTGTCAATAAAATAACATTTGTAGCACAAGTTTTTAATAAGAAATGACCTATACTGAATCTTACATATATCGAGAGTTATTTTAAAAGATATTAAGATTTATACGTGTTTTGTTATAGCATCTATATTTTTAATGGATAATGAATATTTTATTTCAATTCAAGGAAACAATGCTGTTTTTCTTTAGCATTTAAAAATTTTTTTATTTCATGTATTCAAGAATTTGAAATAATGAGAGAAATGAAAAATTAAATTTTGATATTAGATTCAATAATCATTTGTGTTGGATTATTTATATTTAAAATTATTTGCTAACCTAGGTTACAATTATTCACTTCAAACGAAAAGATTTTATTTTCTAATTATTTAAAAATGTTGATAAATATTATCACAAAGCTATTGTATCAAACAAATCATCATAGTTGCATCTATAATCTGATAAGTAGCTTTATATATACATATAATACGTACTTAGTAGCATCAATATTAGAAATTTGAATTACGAGCAGTTTGTCATCTCATTGTCAGACATAGTTCTCTTATATACATTAAAATAGTAACAAGTGTATATGTATTTATAGTCTTATCAGATATATCTAAAATATTGCATGTTAAACATTTAAAACTATAACAAATAAATTATTGATCAAAGAAATTTATATTTTACATATCCTTTGCTAAACTTGTATTTGTAATAGTAAAACAATACAAGCATTACTATTTATTTAGAAATATTTAGTTGCTAAAACAACAACATTATATATATAGGAAAATCTAGTATAGAAAAGAGAAGAAAGTAGGATAATAGCGGGACTACCTGTTTTCTATTCTATAAAGTCGTATATTTCTCACTTCGCTTGTGATACGAGAGTGAGACATCTAAATCCTATACATTTTTCATGCGCCTATAGAAAGATATAGAGAAATGTTGGATATAAATAAAAGCTAGAAAAAAGTCGGAATAATATACTTCTATATTATACCTGATAAATATATATGTTCTAAAGTACAGCATGAATTTCTTTTTCTGAAATTCGCGTTCTCTGAGATTTTTAAATATATTTTATCGATCAATATATGTGTGTAAAAGATTTTATAGTATGTATAATGTTATAAGATATTTATTTGTGCAGAAATAGCAATAACCAGTGTAATATTTTTAAGTAATATCTGTAATATTTAAGAATTTAATTGTTTACTTCTATTCAATAAAAAATATTGTATTATGTTTTTACACAAGAAAGAAACCATAGTTATGTCATTAACTTAATATTGAGAATGTGATTTCAAAATAATAATCGCATACAATACATATTTTATACACACGTGAATTTCATTATATTATAATGTTATTGAACTATTAAGGTTGAACATATTACATTTGAAAGTGGAATGCGTGATCGTTTGTATAAAATGTAACGATTAAAAAATTAAAATCAAATACCGAACTTTGCCATTATCAAAGTTCATAATGTTTTAATGATACAAGTGTTTTAATGATGATACAAAAATTTATTTGCTTGTTATACTAAAAATTTAATTATTACAAGTATGAATAGAATCTAATTAAAATCTAATTTCATCGGAAAATTTAACATTTTTACAGAATGTAAGAAAAGTGACTTATACATATGATTTTATAATGTTGAATAAATAGAGATAAGTCCAAAAAATGTTTCACTAAATTCAAAAATAGAAAATAAAATTTAAATATATGTTATTACATCATATTCTATGATATGGGATTTGTATACCGTTAAGTTATCTATTCTTTTACAAATTATTCTTTTGCTATTAATTAGTTCATTTTTTTATGACTGGGTACCTACCAAATGTTCTATTTTATTAACAAAACAATAGGAAACTTTTTCTTATATTTCCTATCTATAATATATTGAAATTCAATAACAAACAGTGTATAATCAATATATACGTATTTTGAAAAAACTCAACATAAAGTAATAAATCGAATTAAATGCCATAAAAGACCAATTTAATTTTGAATTTCAATGCATGTACTTTATTAATATATTCTTCTGGTATATTCTAATTAATCTTCTCGAATTTTAAACTGTAGAATATGATATGTATATATATATATATATAACTTTAATCTTTCTTAACATCTATTATCTCGCCATGCAATATTGTTCATGATACACTTTGAACGAGATATCTTGCAACGCCATTCATACTTTGGACAAGATGTCTCGCATGTCTTTCTTGAGAATTCGAGATATTTCATAATGGATAAAAGTCAAATTGGAAGACATCGTGTTTATGAATATGGAAAAGATTAGCATTGGTATGAAAAGCATGTTTCGTGTTTATAAGTATATGATTTTATATTTTACTAGCACATAAAATATTTCGAAGCACAGTGTTTCGTAAAAATAAATATTGCGTTAAGAAAACATGATAATATTATATATAACACATTGCGTGACAAGACATTTTGTTCTCGTACGCAAAAGAGTTAAATAAATTAATAAAAGTTACTCACGTTACAACACTTCCTTTAATAATAAACTTTAAAAAATTTTAAAGTAATACAATAAATTAATTGTGTGATAAACGTAGTAATTTTTAAACTATTATACGATAATTTACAAACCTGATTTTTCCAAAAATAATATCAGCGAAAAAGAAATTATAATATTTTTCTATTTGACATGGTTCCATTCAAAAGATTCATAAATAATTTAAATTACATAGTACACTTAAAAACTATTCATTTCAAAATTAGTACATTTTCCAAATATATATATGATTAATATTTTTTAATATGTACAATATGCCCAATAAATACATATTTTTTTAATTTAAATGACAAATAATACAATAATAATAATAATAATAATAATAATAATAATAATAATAATAATAATAATAATAATACTTGTGCACTATGTATACTAGGTATATGTATGATTGTCATTACTTACTTATGATCTATTACTTATTACGTTTCTGGTATACGTTTTTGGTATATTTTATTCAAAATATTATGTATTCTTTGACCATTTCTTACAGTTTTGCAAATATATATTTCATTCCGTAGCATAATAATATTAATTTAGAAATTAGGTCCTTAAATAATACCTATTTTGTGTGAGTTATGAAAACAAAATATTTTTGACCTTAGGTATAACATTATTTTTATTTGTTGATTTATTCATCATGCATCAAACAAGATGTTTAATATCATAAACTGCAAACTTAATCAATATGTCCATATTGCCGTTTTGTGTATTGCGTTTGATTAATTGAACCGTGAATTGCTATGTCACATTGTAATTACATTTCCATTATTACGATTTTACTATGAAGCCAAACAGTATTTTTTTCCATTTGTGCATTTATTTTCAATCCTATTTCAGTATCAAACATATTTTAATTTTATGTGTTTTTAATTTATTTTATATTTTATTATCTTATATATATATATATATATATATATATATATATATATATATATATATATATATAAACTGTATACATGCATATATACAATTTTTTCAACATTTCATTAAACCTTAAACATTAAAGTTGAACGATGGAATATTAAAACTTTTTCTAGAATATTTGTCCACTCCAATATTCAAATGAAATAATAACAGAAAAATCGTATAGTAACAGAAATTGTTGTAAAAAGAAAATTTCAATCTTTAAGACTATGATGGATCTAGTCACGAAAAAAATTTTTCATTGTTTCAAGAATAAAGGTATCCTTACTTCCCCATCTGTCACATAATGCAAAAGTATCTTTGAAAAAATCTATTGATACTAAAAGTGAGATACTTAAAGATATTTAAATCTAGCTACTACTATTATTTGAAGTTTTACACTTCAAAGTAATTATATATGATTACAAGAATCTGTTGTTTCTCACAAAATGAACATCATTATGTGACTATAATTCATAAATGAATTTAATCCGTATGAGGAAGGCAACTCCAATGTTCTCGACCTTCACATATATTACGATGGACGTTAAATAATCATCAAAAGATTTTATTCGCTTGTAATTTTTTAAAAAATTGATAGTCTTTTGAAATTATGACTCATTTTTATCCATTGAATCAAAATAATAATGAATAAATTTAGGTAATTATTCAGGTTGCAAGTCATCGATTTCGTTCATTTTTAAATATAGAATTTTACATCCTGAACAATTCTTTTTTACACGTATACTTTAAACTTTTTTAGTTTTCAAAATATTCATAAAAAACGAAATGAAAACTCCATTCATAATTGCAAAGCTATAAGAAACCAAACCATTGATCAATAGTGTAGCCGATTGGCATCCGCCAGCGGACAATTAATCCAGTCTA